GAAATGTATGTTTAAAGACCTCACCTTCTGACGGTAGTCATTTAAAGGAAATCCTTCTCTTCAACATGACCCTTTTTCCACAACGTTATAAAAAACGAGTGATGCGTCCCATTGGCAATGCATTGGCAAGTTGGCACGGTATGGCACAGTCAAAAAGAAATTGCAGGTAAACAAAATATCTCTCCCGAAGACAATTTTCATCTTGAAGATTAACTTTTCTGATACAAGTAAAAGTCCCATATAAGAAATACCGGTGTACATGTACATGTATATCATACGGGTTTAAACGCTTCGAGTCACAGTTAAAATTAATAAATTATCAATAAAAATTATTGCTGGCTGTTCATGGTTCATGGTCCATGTTCACGCAGTTAAGAAACAAAGGATGTGCACGCCATCGCTGCACAATACTGAATCAGAAGAGTTTGAATGTAGGGGGCGCTTGTCGCACAACACCCTTCCGTCCCCCCCCCGGTACCCTTGTATGGTAGACAATCCATGCTGTAGATCTTTCAATTGATTGAAATTTTTGCCGAAAGTGCCAGACTATGCACCGGCAAGTGCAACTGCGACAGTTCCTGAGGCTTGAAAGGAATATAAGGATTGATTTGTGATATCGCAAGTCACTGTGGTCATGTTACATGTACATGAGGATGTGCACACCCTGCCCCCCAGCGATTGTTGGCGCAAGCCCGATGCTCAGTTGCACCCCCCTCCCCTTGAGTTGATTCCATTCTTTTCCAAAGCATCCAATTTCATGCCCTTTTCAGCTGAAATGAGCCCTTGCTATCAATCACAAATTTCTAGTGCCCGATCTGAACGAATTCGGCCCTGGACGTCAGATTAGATGCACTTGTGTCCCCCTCCCAGCGCCATTCAGGGAGGGGGTGAATTAAAAATTCATTACTATTTTAAAATCACAATTTACTGAAGGAGATACAGGAAATGCATGTCGCCAGAATGTTACAAGTATAATACATGTACATGTGGTATACAGATATCAGTAAAAAGTACGGTACCGCAGATGGCCTACATTTATAGGAAAAGTTTATTTGTAAGATGCGATAAGCGCATTTTTGGTATCTTTCAGAATCCTATCCTCTATCCGTTAATTGTCTACTGTCAGTTTCTACAGATTTGAGACAGCTGAACACAACTTCAACGAGTCAAAATAGCAAAAAAGATGTTTACAGACACACATGGCACACGGCTGAAGCTCTTCAATCTTTCATAATTCTGGAAAAATTGCATGATTTTCAAATGGATATATCTCATTTTGGAAATAAACCCATCATCCACGATTGAAAAATCTTGTACAACACATAAGTGTGAGTTGACATGTTGGGGATCACCTACTGGCTTCGGGCATACATGTACATGTACATGTATATCACCGGTACTTGTATGTTTGACAGTATACATTCATGTACATGTAAGGTCTTGTGGATGTTTGTGATCCTCTGCAATCCTACCGGTACATGTACATGTACCTGGGTAGGTACATGTACATGTACTTNGATTTTGCATGGGTTTGGCATACCTCAGAAAAACTAAGTCCAACAGCCTCTGTGCACAAAGTCCAATATGAGTGTTTCACTTTGTGTGAATGGGGAAGGTTAGGGCCAGCAACCCTTGGGGGGTTAGGTTTAAGGAAATGATGAGGCAGGCAGAAACACCAAGTGGAATAAGCCTTTCGCGAGTGAACATTGAATAAAATCTGGTACACTGAGTTCTTTAAATTTACATGAACATGTACATGTAACAATTTGAATTCTCCATACCAAAACCACTGTTGCTATACCTTGTGATTCGGGGCAAGCTTTTGCTTAGTTACCATACAAGTACATAAGAGACGCCTAGCAACAATATGCTGTTCTCATTGGATACGGGCACAAAGGAATCTCTTCCCGACAAATCAATCAGCTTATAGGCAGTTTCACAGCACAGCTTTGTGGAATTACTTCGGATGTGTTTCAAAATATGGGTAACAAACAGGTAGCCATGATGGTTTTACTTGACCTTAGTGCCGCATTTGATACAGTTGACCACAAGTTGTTGCTCCAAATTATGGAGAATAATTTTGGTTTTTGTATTCACTTGGCTGTCATCATACCTCAGCAATCATTACCAAAGGGTTTCAATTTCAGGTGCTCTGTCGGAACGTATCGGTGTTGAATTTGGGGTTCCTCAAGGTTCATGTTTGGGCCCCATGCTTTTCATGGCTTATTCAAGTTCTCTATTCAAAGTCATAGACAATTATATGATATGGGGTTACAGTTATGCAGATGATACCCAGTTGTTGCAATTTTTCTCCCAAACTGTGTCATCAAACTCATTCATTGCAAAATATTGAAAAATATGTTGTTTCAGTTCAAGCACGGATGTTGAAACACAAGTTGAAACTTAACGCAGGAAAAACAGAGGTCATTTTGTTTGGTTCTCAACAACAACTGGATAAAATCCACATTGACCTTGTTAAAACTGGTGACGACCATATAAAAATTGTTGACAATGTCTGTAGTCTGGGAGTCTGGCTGGATTCAAGATTGTCTTTGGACTCTCACATCAATCGTATTTGTACGAAGGTGAATTATAGCTTATATAATTTACGTCGTATTCGAAAATATCTGAATCAATGAGCCACAGAGTGTTTGGTTCATTCATTAATTACATCGCACCTGGATTATGTCACCTCTGTTATTGTACAATGTAAGGTACATGTATGACATGTCTCAATCTTCATTCGATAAGTTACAACGTTTACAGAATAACGCAGCTCGGTTGGTTCTGGGATTGTGTAAGTATGACAGGATTACGCAGTCATTAAAAGAATGGCATTGGCTTCCAGTTCGTGCACATGTAGAATCTAAGATCTTGCTTTTGGTTTTCAAGGTGTTGCAGAACAAAATACCAAGCTGCCTGACTGACTTGATTGTCAGGTCCCGCTGTGCTTATGGCTTACGTAGTCAGGACACCTTGAGTCTTCAAGTTCCTCAATCGTATAATTACCGGTAACTTAACGACAGGGCATTTGCTATTGATGGACCGAGGTTGTGAAATTCTTTGCCAACTCAGTTGAAAGATAATATGAAATGAAAACGAGTTCAAGTGTGCCATCAAGACATACATGTACCTTTTAAAAAAAGTTATAATTAACAAGGTCTTATGCATGTAATTTTATGTTTTATTAATCAAGTGGTTCAACCTGTAACTTACATGTAGTTTTTGTAACTTTTAATTATAATTTTACTTGTACTCTGTAGTTTTTATATAACTGTTATTAATGTGTAATCATTATTTTTGCTATTTTGATATGTACAGCGCTATTGAATATTTTATTTTTTTTTTAATTCAAGGCAACGTGCGTGTCAGCCCATGTGCACTGCGCAGTCAATGGAAGAACTTTACACTTATGGCTGACCTGTCTAGTGGACAACGGTACTGCGTGGGAACGATATACATGTACACTGTAAGTCCGACATTCACAAAAGTTGTTGTCAGAATGACTGCAAGATTTATGAATTGCTGAAAAAAGTCCCGAAGGCTCAGTGTGTGAAAAAAAAAGGAACTGGGAAGATATCCATAAAAACAAATGTTGTGGGGGCAGACTTTGCCCCCTGGGGTCTTTGAAGGTAGAGAAACTTTCGTTTCTTTTTCAATAAACGTGTGCAGTCATGGTTCTAGTGCTGTGTACAAAGCGGCAAAAATCTGGTGCTTGCTAAAAACTAGTATTTAAGACCATATCAATGTCTTAGAAACTGTACTTTTCAACTGCAAAAATGCTACCTGTACTTTATCAATTTGGGGGTGTGAAGAGATTTTAATGCAATGGAGGTCCTTAATTGTTTTCAAACATAAATGCAACAGAGTGATCTATCCTTTACGTGTAGTTTTCCAGTGTTCAGTAACTCTGACAGGGTTTTCATTTTTCACTCTCTGTGCTCCCCTTCAATGAGAGACGTGAACCCAGAAATATTACTGTGCTATAAACTACATGTACATGTAACAGCAGACATAAAGTTGCCCATTACAAGTACAATGTACATGCACATGTGTGCTACGTCAACTTGAAATCCCCGCTTGTCAAGCTTCTATATGCCAAGTGTCTTGATGTACGTAAAAATAGCACGCACACTCCAGGCCACGTGAATGTCTTGCAAATCTCTCCGTAAAGACTTCCTTTTGTCAATGTACGGTATCGGAGTACTGTTTGGTGTGTTTGATGGCTTGCTTCTAGTAATGGCTTTGTCCTCCCCCCAGTGTGTTTGAAATTGTTTTTCAACAGTAATGGTCTTCTTTGGCGTTTCATAATCCGTTACGTCAGATGTCACTGATTATGGCATTTTTCCAGCAAGATTGGGAGATGAAGGGAAATCCACGAAACATCCGATAGTCAAAGGGGTTTGTAACTATGACAATAATAAAGTACCATGACTTTTTGAGGCTTTCAAAGTTAACAAGGCTTCACTCTTCCAAATTGTTATGGGAATCTTACACTTGGTTTCTGTACAAAGTGTACATAACATTGCAATGCTAAAATGATGACTCCTCTATACATGTAAATCCAGCATTCCGGGGTCATAAACAACACGAAATTTGTAGAGAAACATTACGAGAAATCTCCCCCCCCCTTGCAAGAACAAGAAATGAGTCCATGAAGATTGCAACACGAAGTTTTGAAACAAACTTGAGATGTCAGGTTAGAATTTAAGTAGTGAAAAAATTACATGTATATTAATTTCTCAAATTCTCTAGGTTCACGTTGTATTGTACAAGTACGTACATATGTGCGGTATAGTCACTATAATGTTCCAATTAACCTGACTTGAGCTTAACTTAAAACCTTAATTATTATATCAAATCTTGGTCAAAAAAAGAAACGAAACTGTCGATGGCTAAAAAAAAAAAAATTAGGTAAAACTAGTTCTTAATCAAGATTCAAATGCAAATTCTGAATTACTGATCTCACAATTAGAAGAAAGGAGATCAAAGTGACTCACTTTGACTGGGCATCAATTTCCAAGATGTAAGTGTCTTGGTTGTCTGGGCCTACTGTTGTCTGTCGGCCAAGCTTCAACTTCGTCAGAGCCTCAAAGTAGTTGGGCGTCGTCATCTTGGCATCAGTGTGCCAGCTGGCTGACAGAGCTCCAGCACAACCGGACCGTGCGTGCACTGGAACGTTTTGAAAAGCACCCTCCCCGGCTGCGAGCCACTGCAGAAATGAGAGACTTTGCGTGGTTAGCATCAGGTTTATTAGAGACTCGTCGTGTGGAGAGCTCTCTCCCTATTCCTCTCCCCTCGCTCACTGCCGCCGCTCGACAGTGAACTAATAACGCTTGTATGCGTCACCGTCTGCACAACTCAGTGGTAATTTCACAAGGCAGGGCCACAAGGAATGGATGATTTGTTTCTCAAACAGCGTGTGATTTTTCCCCCCGTTAATTGTGGTATCCTACTTGACACAGAGACTTTGGACGACAGGATCGCTACTGCACATTCTGTCTTGATAACTTCAGATTTTCATTTCCAGAAATTCTAAGTGCCATTATTTGCTTTTCAAAATAAGTGTTCCTCAAAGGTCTGATTGAAACAAACACTCCAATCTCGCAATCTTTCTTCTTGAAACCCTGAGTTAAAAATGCATGAACACTGTGGTTTCATTAGAATGAGACCTACATGTATAATGCACACAAACTTGAACAGTGTATGGTACATGCACAGATAAACTGAAGAACCTTTGTTTGTGGAGAGGGGAGATCGAATTCTGCTAGAAAAAAAAAGGCAAAATATTATGGCCAAAATTGTAATGCACATCAAACCACTGTCAGTCATTGTTGTAAGTAATCCAATTCATCCAAGGCCAAAAAATGTACATGTACATGTAATCCTCCCCAACGAAGCTGAGCAATGTGATCACAGTTTCACTCCCTTGAAACCGACAAAAACACGATTTTCTTTTTCTATGTGTACGGTGGGAGAGAGTCACTTGACACATTCTCTCATCCGACAGTCGTCACCGAGTTGAAATATGGATCGGAAAGGGCAAAAATCATAACCTGTTCCTAAAGAAGATATCATTTTGAGCTTTTAAAGGTGTAATGTGTGCGCGGCACTTTTGTCGAGATCAGAGCCAAATGTCATGTCCATGCTAACCACTGAATTTTGTGCGAACAATCAACTTCAACGACCAAAACGTTGTGGGGACAGAGGGGGGTCCCCACAACTTGGTCCTGTCTAATTTGCCTAACAAAAGAAATTGTCCCCTTCAACCGGTGAAAACCTGCCTGCATGTACCGGTCCGTGTCCCTCTGCTCTTCCTATGAAAATTACTCTCTTTTTCTAGGAAAATGGATTTGACCTGAGTTAAATCCAATCAAGAGTTAATTCCTAGATATGCTAAATAAATGTACGTACTTGAAATTAAATCCTGGCCCCCCCCTCCACACACAAAAAGACCAACTGCACTTGGAAGTTTTCAGCTGCTTGTCCAGTTAAAGGGCATTTCAGAATCTTGATGGTTAAAACAGAGATTTTGTTTTTATATAAAAGCTCCAAAATACTGTACATGTAAAAGTTTAGAAAATGCTAAAACGTATGGTGTGTATGCAATACACCTACATGTGCCGATGCATTTATACACAAACTACGTTCCGATGTAAGTAAATTTCATGTCATGGCCCCATAAAAATGTTTAAAAAGAAGACAAGTCTGACAATCTTTGCTTTTTCAAAAATAAAAAACACTCTTCAATTCTTGGAATACACACTGGCAATGGTTTCCAGGAAGAGACATACTCAATCACACCTCTTCCACTGCAAGGAAGCAGAGCTGACCTGGTGATTAATTTCATTTCAATCATAAGGCAAAAAATAAGAGGGGAAAAAAAAGGAGAACTTGGGGGGCAATGACCACGGTGACGACAGTTCAGTGCCTGGAAAACACCGGGGTAATTAATCCCATGGTCAAGAAAACTCTGGAAGTGACAAACTGCTTTCATTGTCTGATTTTTCAATGTTGTCATAAACTGTCTCCAATTTCCATTTTGGTTTATTGTCACTTTGTTAACTGTAGTTATGGGCTTATGGCTGGCACAGTTTAATTTTTTTATGGCCTCAATACCTAGCGCTAATTGGCAGTGCTAATTAACCCTAACCTTCCCTAACCACACAGAATTGAACACAAATAAAGTGTGTGAATTTGTGGCACTGGGTACTGTACCCCTAAACTGCTTGTGCTTTAACATGGGTTCAGGCTACCCAAAATAAACAGAGTCCAACAGTTTTTGTGCACAGTTTCCCATATGGTGTTGGAATTTGTGTGAATGGGTATGGTTCCTAGTAAATCACTCTGGGGAGTTAGGGTTAATACCATTGTTTTTCTCACCAATTGCTCAGAATTATTGCCAAAGCATTAACCATTTGTTGACAACAGCAACTGAACGCTGAAGCCCTGAAGCACTATACTTCAGATATATGAATTACACGCAAGACTGCACGTCACATTATAAGGCATAGAAGGCCCAAACCACGTTTTTTTATTCTGTCCCATTCATACTTTACGACAAATCCTAAAAGAATGGACGGCAGGGTTTTAAAAGCTAGCATCTGAAAACAGGGTTGTCTGCACCTGCCTTGAAGGGAAAAATAAGGTGCCCGATTTCCTAAGGTACAGTAAAATGCTTTTACATGTACATTGTAGGCACTTGTGTAACAAAAACAGGGAGTCCAAAATGGCCTACAGGGCGTCCAAGAGATACCGTACTCAGACACCTCTCTGACTGAGATTGTTTGGTGATAGCATGACTTGCACCCTTAGAACGAACACAACCGTTTCTCTGGAGCACGGGAGAAGGAGGCTCATATATGTACATGTACCGGTGGATGATGGTGTGTCAGGGGTGTCATGAGTGGTGGCGAATGGGGGTGCTAGTGCTCCTCCTAGAAAAAAATCCTAAAAAAGGAAAAACGAGACAACGAGCAAAAGAAAGGACAACAAAAAATTGAAAGGAGATGAAAATCATCAGGTTACTTTGAAAACCTCAAAACTGACCCCCTTCAGCCCTTTTTTCCTGCCATGGAAAATTTTCCCTCTGGAAGAAAGTACTTTTGTGCCCCCCCTCCCCACAAAAAAATCTTGTGCGACACCCAGGGAGTGTGAAGGGGACTCTTTCACCCCTCAGCCGTGATAATGATGATGGCAATCATGAAATGTCAATGGCTTCTTGGGAATTGGGAGAAAGCATTTGACATTCCCCAGGGAGCAGACACAGTAGTTTTAATGTTCCATAAAGCTTAGTGCAGGGCCCGCAGAGTGGCGGCATAGGAAGCGGGTGAATGCAGGATTTATACCCACGTCTAGCATCGCCGAGTAGCCAGAATTGCTTAAAGGTGGACATTTCCAAACTGGTTTTTATTTTTGGAGGACAGCAGTTCCTTAGAACAGCTTCCGGCATCACATGTGAAAGAGTTTGTTCCAAAGTCTAATCACGTGTGTATGCAAATGTACATATGCGTGCATGCACATGTATACATTTGTAAATGTTCGCATCTGTAAATGTTCCCATCATCAATTCATACTTGTTCAAGTTTGCTGAGGTGCAATGACTACCGGTACGTGCAGAGTACCAGTACATGCAATATCAAACTGATGCTCAACAGGTACACATGAACCAACTTCCGGGGTATACATGTACATACTCTCAACTACATGTACTTGAGCCATGTACCACAGTATAATTGTAGACCAATTGAATAATTTTCACCAGAATGTGCACAAACCCGTGGTGCCTTACACTAACACTTGATGCACATGGGCAATGCTATTCAAGGAGTGCTCACCAGTGAAAGAATACTTGGGTACAGGGACCCAATTAAGCTGAAGCCAGCTGTTCACGAGGCCCCAGTAAAAGCACAAGTGCACCTTACAATCCATTCGACGGAAATTTGTAAAGAGATGTGCATCCAGGTACACACTAACGTAATGGAATTCCATCCAGGCAAGAACCTAAGGAATAGAATTGAAATTGATGAGAGGAAGCGGGTGCATGAAAGGACTGGCAGGCGGGTGCCCTACGGCAAGCGTGGCACAGACGAATAATAATAGATTGTGGAACGGGGGGAAAAACCAACGAACGGAAGAAATGCGGGTGCCTGCTGAAAACAAACAGGAAAGGCTGTGGGCAAACGGCAGCGGAATGGGATCATGAATTCTTAACAGATAGCAATATGCAGTACGCCAGTAGCATCTACAGGTACATTAATTCAACATGAAGAGATACAGTGTACCTACAAGGCACACATCCCTATGAGCCATTGGTTGCACACAACTGCTTTAACGGTACCTTAATTTTTTTTTTTTTAAGTCTGGAAATTCTCACCTCTTTCAACGTGTTCAAATATAGCACATTAACATGTATTTTTAAAGAGCCAGGCAAATACGTTTTTTATGCGGTTTCTGAAAACACTGAGATGTCGAACATAAAAAAGGGTATTTTAAAATTGAAAAGCCCAATTGTTCTCCAGTTTTTCCCACACATGCTGAATATCTTTATATATTTATTTATAATTGAAAGAGTGTTTGAAAAAGGTTATCATGTTGAAACGCTGTGCCGAATATCCGAATTTAACCAAATAGTTGATCAAAGATTCAAATACTACAATGTACATGTATTTTCCGAATTTGAATATTCAAAATGCAAAATTCATGAAAAGGAATGGAACATTTTCTTTTGCTTTAAATGAGAAAAAAATGCACTAAGGAGGCTTGTTTCGGTAGATTTAAATGAAAAGCAACAGTACTCTATCAACGATTCAATAAGTAATCTATTCATTTAACAATTTAAAAGGAATAGAAATTATTAATTGGGCAAGAAATATTGCTCATCTCTTAAATCTTGCCAAATCGTGGCTATAGATACTACTCCTAGATGTGAGAAGCTAGGTATATTGATCATAATGTACAGTTGTGTGCGTTATTGCAACTGATTTGGTATATTGAACAAACCATATATGGTTTGTTCGTCCATAATCTGCCGGTGGGTACAACCGAATATTCGGCTATTCAATCGAATTGAAAGTCCAATATTTGAATGGTGAATTATTTGAATTGACTCAGCCCTGTCAAGTTACATGTATGTTTGAACTGTGAATTGTCCCTTGTTAGTTTTGATCAATTTCAGTTTTGGCTCTCTGTTGACAGGTCGTCCATGATTTA